TGTGCGTGCATGCCCAAGATCCTAAGAGAAGAATGGAGGAGAAGGGATTGTGGCGTGACTATCCCCCTGGGGAGTGGTTTCTCGCTTTCTGTCTCTGTCTTTTTGGTGAGCACACACGCCCTATAGCAAAAACCTCTCCAAAAAAAAAAAAAATACTCCCCTTTAACACTCGGCCAACTTACGTAAACGTTTTCTTCTGTCTCCTTGGACTTTCCCCACCACTATCGCAAGGCAGTGCGAGGACAGAAACATTGCCCTGGTTTATCTCTCTCAGAACAGCAAACATTCCTCATTTGAATTAGTGCAAAGGTAACAGAGAAATAAAAGTGATCCTCCCCAAGACACATTGTTGTAAAAATGTTTCTAAGACATGGCTAGAAACTAAGTTGACATCTTAGTCAAAAAACAACAAAAAAGAAATGCATTTAACCAATCTCAGCCCTCTCAGCCCGTCCTCCCCAAAAGAGACTATGGACAGTAGAACAAGTGAACAAAGAGCCTTCTTTGCGCAAGGCAAAGTCCTAGGTCCTGCAGGAGATAGACAGAAAAGGTAAAATGAGACCCTTGGACTTACACAACTCAGAAGACTGAAATAAATCAAAAGTTACAAGGCCAAAATATTAAGAGCTAAACAGCAATATTAAAAATAAAAAAATAAAAAGATGGACCAGCAAGTGACATGGTGGTTCAGGTGCTGGACTCCCACGTGGGCAATCGTAGTTTGAGTCCTGGACCCAGCAGCTTGAAAATCATACTGGGTATGCGTGCATGCATGCCCAAAATCCCAGGAGAAGAAAGGAGGAGAAAGGATTGTAGTGTGGCCATCCTACTGGGGGACGATTTCTCACTTTCCCTCTCACTGTCTCTCCTGTCTCTCTCCAGCAAGTGCACATACCCTGTGGCAAAAATCTTCACACACACAGAGAAAGAAAGAAAAGGCAGTAACATGTGTCTTTAGGATTTGAAATGAAATATTCTTGGCAAAATCTAGCAAAGAGGTGCTGAAATACATGACGCCTCTCCAGGTGCTATAATGTCACAGTGTACCGTTGCCCTTAGCAGCACACCGGATCTGCAGACAGTGGCTATTGTGTTAAACAAGGAACACTGGAAATCTCTGTGTCCCTTGCGTAAGATAAGCTCCAAGCCACATGGAGGGAGAAGAGGACATCGAATACCCGTTAGGCCTTCTGTCTAGAAACCCAGGCTGCCTGCTCATTGTACGGGTCTTCATAAGCCAAGTGAGAAATGAAATGTGTGTCTCTGAGCTCACAGCTACTGCAGGGAAGCTGGGACTAAGTCACTGCGGCCAACACTCTCACCCTAGGAAAACAACTGACACTGGGTCGTCAGAAAAGTCATGAAATGTCGTGACTTCCAACAACCCAATACATACTGGGTCATGACCTCTGCCCTGCACTCCTCCCCTGCACTCAGCACTCATTCAGCTATTCTCAAAATGCCTGGTTGGGGAGAATTCATTGCTGTGTCGCTACACCAACTGCCAAGGAGATCGGGTCAGTCCAAACCATTCAAACTTCCAAATCCTCCCAGACAACCAACAGTATCTTCCCACCGACTCCAACCCTACCATAAAACTAAAATGCATTTAACTGGTCCAGCGATTAAGTTTTTTTAATTTTTTAAAAAAGATTCCTGTTGAAAATTTTAGAGAAAAGAATAGACAATGAGAAGGTTATAGGTTGGATTCCTTGACTTCGAACTTCCGGTTCTCCAAATGCAATGATTTCTTACTTCTACCAACATAGGGGGGCTCTCCTTAGATCTTACAGGAGCAGATGAGTCTTCCAGCTCAAAAATTACAGTGCACGATTTGCTAAAGTCAAGAATTTTTTTATGCAATAAATGCTTGCTCTTCTCTCAATTCAGTAAAGTTAAAAAAAATCTGTGGGAACCAGCAGTTAGCGTAATGGCTATGTTGCTGGACTCCCACGTAGTCGACTGCGGTTCGCGTCCCGGACCCGGTGGCTTAAAAAACTCACACCAGGCGCGTGTGCGTGCGTGCCCAAGATCCCAAGAGGAGAATGGAGGAGAAGGGATTGCAGCGTGACCATCCCCCCTGGGGGGTGATTTCTCGCTTTCTGTCTCTATGTCTCTCTTTCTGTCTGTCTGGCGAGCGCATGCGCCCTATAGCAAAAAAACCTCTCCAAAAAAAAAAAAAATCTGTGAAGCAAATTTTCTTTAAAAACTTACAAAATCCAACTTCGAAAAGGAAAAGAAAAACACTGCAGAAGTTAAGATTAATGAAAAAATTCAACCTTAACAAATTATGTGATAGACAAAAGGAGGTTTTGAAGACTGTATTTTAATTATTAGCTATTGATTAAAAAGAGAGATACATCAACTTACCAACAACGAATGCTCCTCTTTCTGCAAAAGCCAGGGCATACGCTCGGCCCAATCCTAATAAAAAGAATAATAATGAACATAATCAGGAAGTTGAGGAAATGCCAGCATAATCTTTTAGGGCCACATAACTCAGTCTCCATTTGAAGTAACAGGTGAGCGATTATTTACAATGGTAGTGTCTTCTCTGTTACTCTCAACCTTTGTTCCACCTCTGCCTGGAGAATTTGGACAGCTTCAAACATCCCACCTTTTCTCCTTCCTTTCAATCTACTTGGCAGGATGCTGAATGTAAACGGGGTTCGAACCATGAGATGCACTTGCACAAAATCTGAAAGGTGGAAATGAAGCAGAGGGCCCCCTTCTGGCTGCAGTTGTTAGTGAAAAGGCTGGTTTTATTGAAACTCCCTAGGAACTGAGAAATACCGGCTGCAGAGGCGAGCTCTTGACCTGGCTCCCAAATGCCCGGATGGCAGCTTTCACAATCCTGGTCCCGTGGCACCCACGGCTATGAGGGCTATGGCAGGACTCCAATGACAACCTCTGAGGTACTGGCTCTCCTGACGAGCCAGTTCCGTGTTGTTGCAGAAGTCATTCCCAGTGGACCTAAAACCCAGCTGCCTGTGTTAAACCTAAAGTATCTGGTGATTTCTGTATCCTGCACTGAACTTGAACTATGCAATCATCAAACACAAAAGATACTCAACTCTGATTCAAAGGTATGGGACGTAAGGTTATACACTCAAAAAAGGTGTGTGTGTGTGTTATGGGCACATAATGTTTCAGGAAGAACATATAAAACATTAGCAGTCAGTGGTCACCTCTGGGAAAAAGAAGAGCATGGCTAGCAAGCAAGGGTGTAAGGCTCGCTTCTGCATTGTTTAACCTTTCTCCATTTTTAAGTTTAAGCCAAATGACAGATGAATAAATTGACCATCTATATTTAGTGGAAGTTGACTGACAGGTACACAAATTACAAACTGAGACAGGTAATCAGGCTCTTCTACAAAGAACCCAAAATATAAAGTCTTCCAAAACTAGAAGCTATCATCGAATCATTTAAAATGTAATCCCTCCTGCATGGGTAAGACAGAACTCAGCCAGTTTACCAGCCACAGGTGAAAAGTTCAAAGCTGTCTAGTCACAACTCACTAACATTTCAATATCAATTTGGTAAGCTGCAACAAGAAACAGAAAAGTCCAGCTTGTGCATTTACAACGTATTGTGTAACTACCACATTTACTATATCATGAACCTGTTTCCAATACAGGTGGTGTGAGTGTACCAGCTTTGAAGGCAAATGGACTGCACTTTACCAGTCACTGTCAAAGAGACTTAAAACACAGTGTATCACTTATAGCTACCAAAAGCAGCGAGTAAACAAAAACACAATTCTAGAATGAACATAGCTTTGGGTATGAAATACTTTGCCACCATTAATATTAAACACTTTTTCTGAAACACAGCGGAAGAAAGCATTTCATCATTGCTAAAGTACACATGAAGTAACCGGCAGAATTCCATCGCGTGTGATTTTTAATATGTAATTTAAATAACTCATGCACTGGGGGCTTTTTCTGTGTAAGGCACTTGGGGAGGTAGGGGGGCCAGGAATCGAAGTGCAGAAGGCCCAGACCCTAACACTTGGGGGCTGCAGAGGTCACCCACTGGGTAAAAACTGGTGTAAAGTTTCACTGCAGGACATCTATTTGGGTGTGCATGGTGGTTTTTCTTTTCTGGTCCTTTAAAACTGAGCCTCACTCCCACTTCCCCCTCCATGTCTGCCTGACCTCCGTGCGCGTTCAGAGCCTGTGCCAGGGCTCGGGACGCTGGGCACTGCGCACGGCTTCCTGCGCACATCAACTCCAGGAGCAGGGCTCTAAGTAGAAGTAAGCCCTGTCCGGCGGCCCTCCCAAGAACTTAAGGCCATCGGACACGAAGGAAACCAGGCTGGGCAGAACGCCCCGCTCCGCAGGCGGCGGTTCCAGCCCGGGAGGGCTGCAGGCCCTAGGCCGTCCAAGCGCAGAGTTGCAACAGACGCCCGCGGACGAGCGTCGATAGAACTTTGAGCAGCTCCGCCGCCGCCGGCCCGGGGTCTCCCGCGGAGAAAGGCTGCGGCCTGGAAGTGCCCCAGGGGTTCGGGGTGCAGCCGGCCGCACCTGCCCGGGCGCCGGGCGTCCCCGTGCCTCCTCCAGGCTGGCGGCCACCCCCCTCCCTGCCCAGCTGATTCCGCGACCAAGGTCAGCTGCTTCCCCATCACCACCGTCCCGCCAGCCGCTTGCGCCCCAAGCGAATGGCCACCAGTGCCCGCAGCCCCGACGCTGGGAGCCAGCTGGACAGCGCGCGTCACCCAGCCCCGAAAACGGGGACCCGCGGCGCGACAGCGAGGCGCGCGCCGGCCCGCAGCGCTCACTGCTCACCTCCCCCCGCGCCGGTGACCAGCACCACCCGCCCGTCGAACCGCAGCGGCAAGGCCATGACTCCCGCCCGCAGCGACACACGACGAGGCAGAGCCAAGGAGTTCCAACTGCAAGACCGAGACCTGCGGGCAGCGACGGGGTGAGCGTGAGTGACCCGCCGGTTCCTGGGAAAACGACCGGCGCCGTCGTTACCCACTGCGCCTGCGCACGGGTCCAGGGGCATCCTGGGAAATGTAGTCCGGCAGGACTCCCCGGCTCCGCCTGCGCAAGAGGCTTGTGAAAGGGCGCTTTCTGCAACTCTAGAAACGATGGGAACTGCGGGGGCCTGTGTGGCAGCTCGTGTTCGTCCATTCTTCTATCCTTTCCTCGTTCACTCAACAAACTTTCTTTTTCTTTTTTTTTTTTTGGAGAGTTTTTTACTATAGGGCGCATGCGCTCTCCAGAAACAGAAAGACAGAAATAGAAAGCGAGAAATCACCCCCCCAGGAGGATGACCACACCACAGTCTCTTCTCCTCCATTCTCCTCTTGGGATCTTGAGCACGCTCGCACACGCGCCCGGCCTGAGTTTAAGCCATCCAGTCTGGGACTCAAACCACGGTCAACTACATGGGAGTCCAGCGACATAGTCATAACACTAACTGCTGGTCCCTCAACAAACTTGTTTTAGGTTTGGCACTGGCCTAGAGAAATAGCAGGTGGCTCCTGTTCTTGATTGGCTTTCAGATGCCTGAGGAGGACCTTCAAAATGTTCATGGAAAAGGCATATTATGAACATTCTATGCATGAACTTCAGTTTTTACTGCACCAAATTAATCTGTACTTTATTCCATTTTCCTATAAACTTTTAAAAGTCCACTTGTGGCCCCTTAAAAGGAAAGTCACCCTTTAGAAGAGATTTCTCAGACTGTAATCCCCAGACTTCCTGCATAAAAGTCATCCAGGGGACCAGCAGGTGGCATGGTGGTTAAGGTGCTGGACATTCCCACATGGCTGACCATGGTTCGAGTCCAGGACCTAGTGGCTTGCTTTCTCACTTCCCCTCTTTCTCTCTCTCCCTCTGTCTCTCACTCTGTGTCTCTCTGTGTCAAATTAAAAATAAATGAATTAATAAATATTTATTTTAAATAAATAAATAAAGTCATCCAGGAATTGTCAAAACACAGAGTCCTGGACCCCCACCGCTGCCCTCCCAAATAGACTCTCAGGAGGTAAAAAGTTGAATCAGTGATCCTAAATCATTTTTGCATTTGTAGGTCAAGAATAGTCATTGGGTGGAACAGCAGATGGCGTAATGGTTATATCACTGGACTCCCATGTAGTTGACCATGGTTCAAGTCCTGGACCCGGCAGTTTAAAACTCACACTAGGCTCATGTGCATGTGTGCCCAAGATCCTGAGAGGAGAATGAAGGAGAAGGAGATTGCATCGTGGCCATCCCCCCTGGGGGGTGATTTATTGATTTCTGTCTCTCTGTCTCTCCAGCAAGCACTCACACCCTCTAGCAAAAACCTCTCTTAAAAAAAATAGTCGTTGGGTGTCATTGATCCATTCAGCATTTACTAGCATCTACTAAGAAAGAAAGAGAAAAGAAGAGAAGCTTTTGGAGGGAACGTGGCTCCAATTATAGCCAAATTGCTTTAGGGAAGGGGAAGTGAAGTGTTAAAAGACAAAACTAGAAAAAATGATAGTTTTTATCTTTTTTTTTATGAACTTTAATTTTCTTATATATCTGCCAAGAATTTTCCAAGTTAAGGAGCTTATCTTAAAGCTTAAGATACATTCTCTCTCTTTAACTTACTTCTCACATAAGGCACCCCCTACAGGCTCCTCATGCCATGACCGCCCACCCCTCCCCCCACCTGCACTCCCGGCACACAACCTGCAGCCAGCATGCTCAGGCTGGTCCTGGGAGGTGAACCTACAACCTTCCCCATGTGGGTCCAGTTACGTTACCTCTGCAACACCATCTGGCCCTCATTTTACAAATATTAATTGGCTTTCATTGTAACTCTAAAACCAGGCAACAGTTGGAATTGAAAATAGATAGGTATTTATAGCTAGAGTAAAGAAAGTGACCAACAGAAACAACCAATCAGCAGCCATCATCAATTGCCTAAAATGGTCATTTATTTTATTTATTTATTTTTTTTAGAGGTTTTTGCTATAGGGCGCGTGCGCTCGCCAGAAAAACAGAGAGAGACAGAAAGCGAGAAATCACCCCCCAGGGGGGAATGGCCATGCCACAATCCCTTCTCCTCCAATCTCCTCTTGGGATCTTGGGCATGCACACACTCGCGCCAGGCATGAGTTTAAGCCCCCAGGCCCGGGACTTGAACCGCGGTCGACTACATAGGAGTTCAACCACATAGCCATTACGCCAATTGCTGGTCCCTAATATGGTCATGTTTGGCAGCTTTTAGCCTCTGACTGGCAGGAGGTTGCACTGCTGTGATTAGCTGAGATGCCATCCTTCTTGTAAGAGTATGTTAGGAGACCTGAGGGTAGACCATACCCTAGCCTGTAAGTTAGGTGACCTGTGGGTAGACCATACCCTAACCTGTAGGTTAGGTGACCTGAGGGTAGACCATACCCTAACCTGTAAGTTAGGTGACCTGGGGGTAGAACATACCCTAACCTGTAAGTTAGGTGACCTGGGGATAGAACATACCCTAACCTGTAAGTTAGGTGACTTGTGTGTTGCTAAGTGTGCAGAAACCTTTAGACTGAAGTTAAAATGTGCGTGGAGGTAACTTCAGGACAATTAATCCAGTTTAACAGAAGCTGCGGCTACAGACGCTGAGCAGAGGGCAGACGAGTGGTTCCGCAGCTCTGCAGGTTTTGTTTCGGTGCCAGACAGAGCAAGCAAAGTCTTGCTCTAGCTCAAGCCTGAATTTCCCAAGAGCTCGCGACCACACCTCTAAACCAGCACCTTGTCTCTTAGCCAGGCATCCATAGGTGCCTTACAAAGCCAGACCCCAGAATGTGGTCCTCCCTGAAAGCTGGGAGATAAGCCCCAAAGGCACCAGAAGGAAAACTAAGAAAGCCCTTGAGATAAGAAAGAGGTTGGCTCCATCCAGGGCGAGCCCTGTGTTTTGGGCAGAACTTTACCCCACTGGCATGGCCTCCAACCAGCAGGCACAATGCCTACAGAGGAAGCTGACTTCTGGGTCCCAAAGCTGCCCTGCAGGCACCTCACCTGTAAGGGTGCGTGGACCTACACACTGTTACACAAGAACACAGAGCAAGTACAGGACCTAGAGGCCCAAAACAAAACAAAAAGCACAAAGTGTTCAGTATGTGGGTCTGACAGGAAATTATAAAGAATTATGAAGGTAATTTTGTGAAAAAAATTTATATATGTAACATTGACTAAAACTTGAAGAAAGTATTTTTCATGTTAAAAGAAAAGTTCTGGGACCAGCCGATGGTGTAATGATTATTACATGGTTGGACTCCCACATAGTTGATTGTAGTTCAAGCCCCAGACCTGGTAGCTTAAAAACTCCTGCCAGAAGCATGTGCGTGCAAAATCCCGAGAGGAGAACGGAAAAGGGATTGCAACATGGACATCCTCCCAGGGGGTGATTTCTTGCCTTCTCTCTGTCTCTCTGTCTCTCTGTTGTCTCTCCAGCGAGCACACGTGCCCTATAGCAAAAATCTCCCTAAAAAGAAAAAGAATAAAGAAAAGTTCTTGGGACCAGCAGATGACATAATGGATACATCACTGGACTCTCACATAGGGGACCACAGTTCGAGTCCCAGACCCAGAGGCTTGAAACTCACGCCAGGTTGCCTGTGTGCCCAAAATCCCGAGACAAGAATGGAGGAGAAGAGACTGAGGCATAGCCATCCTTCCTGGGGGATGATTTCTCACTTTCTCTCTGTCTCTCTGGTGAGTACACATACCTTTATAGGAAAAATCTTTCTCTAGAAAAATGTAAAGTAAGACAAGTTCTTGTCCCAAGCTAAAAGGCCTAAATACTGGCTGTGGCCATAGCCCAAGGGACCCAAGTCACTCGGAGTAGTCCTGAAGGCTGGGGACCTAGTGTCACCTGTGGGTAGGATCCCGGAAGCCCAGATCAGGCCTCTGCCTTGAGACAACCCTAGATGATCCTAGTGTGGGAAGTCTGGGTATCAGAAATGACAATGCCCACGCCTGGTATCTTCAGGTTCCCCACTCGGGCTTGTCTGGAAGTGGGATTGCGCCACTCTCTGAAGGGAACCGGGACTCCTGAGTCCACAGTGGCCTCTGGAGTCCAGGACTGATGGCCTGAGGCCTCCAGTGGCTGCCCTTGAAGTCTAGAAATGTCATTGGAAAAGCCTCAGGTAATCCTTAAAGTGACAAGAATGTGCCCTTTAAAAAGAGCAATTTTTATCTAAATCACAGGTTAATGTTTCAAAAAAACTAGCTGAAAGAGCCTCAAAAATAAGACAGAAATCTGCTGCGTCCCGGGACCAGTGGTGACAGCACTTACCGTGGGCCCCCTGGCTCCCTCCCCTGGCTGCCCCATGATGCTCCTCTTCTCTTACTTTCTGCAGGACCTTTGCTCCAAAAGATGCTAACCCACTTTCTCCACATCTCCGACAATGAACCCGGACAGGTGGAAAACATCTTGCCCCTCCAGGGGATGTGCTGTTCACATCTGCCTCTGGAAGACCACATGCTCCCCATCCTCCTTGGCAAAACATCCGTCA